TATCAGTAATATTAGTATAATAGTCCCAGACAAGTTGCTTTCTTTAAAAAAAGAAATGCAATCGTGAACCTAAATGCCTGTTTGGCGGCATGAACGATCAGATAATTGGTACATAAAGAAGCATAATTTTACCCTTTTTAATATAAAATGTAGAAAAACTGATATGGGTTCTTAATGAAGCTGCTTTTCTCTATCTTAACTCGCGCATGTTATAGACCAATTCATTACCTATTACGCAGGTGGCCATAGAAAAGAACAGATGTATTCCGAAAAGACAGTTGGCATTTCCGGTATTCCGAAAGATGATGATGATGATGATGATACAACAAATGGAAGTTTTTAACGACCTTGACTGCCTTTACAGCCCTTGCACGGTCGGGTGATGATGATGATGATGATGATGATGATGATGATGATGATAGATGATGATAGATGATGATGGACGGCTGCTAAGCGTTCAGGACGAGAACATGTTAATATAATATGAATATTAACCCTGCTTTGTACTTGACTGACACGCTGAGCCGGACTTTTTACGTGCTAGTTCACAAGGTAACAATCCGCAGGACGACATATCACCTTACCCGGACACATTATTCTGACTCCGAGCTGACCAGTCTTTGCTCTTGCTCCCGCAGTCGAGGCGAACACTCTACCACGAGACCACTGAGGCGGTTTGTTCTGTGATAAAAGGGTTAATATGCACAGACACTTGTCTCTGAAAAAAATCCCCTATATAAATATATATATTTGCCTTCTGGTTTATATGATCCGTTCATCCTATTTCGACTTTTCAAAATTCAAGAGTCTATCCTAAATTGAGGTAATATATATGGCCTTCCAAATACCGTCTCGACTCCTAACATTACTGAAGAGACATTATTTGTCGAAATCCGGATATGGTGTACAAATTTTTGCACCTCATGTTTGCGGTATACCATCTTTTCTGCAAGTTTATTGTTTTCTGTTAGGTATTAAATTAATAATAAAGATCCATTTTGTTAGCAATCGCCAATGGCAGTCAGCAGGGTTTAAGAACATCCGTTTTTCGACCTGTTAGTCAAATGCGTTTTGTTTAAATATACTTTTTCACTTTTTTTGGTCTATTGGAAAATATTGTTTGTGCTGTATTTAGACCCCTCTACCAAGAAATTTGTTTTGCATGCACACGTATAAAAAATGCGGTTTTTATCCAACGCAATCATAGGTTTGAACGTTGTTTTCAATTTAGACTTATATATACATAATTACTCTAAATATCAGCACAAAAATGTTAAATCTGCAATTTTTTTTCTTCCCTCGCCATCATTCGAACTCATGCTATTGGGATATCGAGACAACACCGCCTGCACTGTGCCCAGCGCTCTAGACCACTCGGCCACCTAGACTGAACTAAAAATTCAGCTTTCGGTTGTCTAGTGTTACCTTTCCTCGTCAGTAGAATCTAGAGTTGTATCACAGTACATGATATATAAGGCATGAAGATGGAATTGATTGCAGATTAGCTCAGTCAATTATCTATCGTAAAGGATCGTAAGATGCAGTCACAGTACGTCTAAACAAGTGACAACTGTACGACAGATCCATCCATTGGATCACCAGTGAACAGAGTGATACACGGCTGAAAACACATATTATATTCATAATTACTCTAAATATCAGCACAACAATGTTAAATCTGCAAATTTTTGTTCTTCAATCGCCGGGATCGCCGGGATTCGAATCCCGGCGAGGGAAGAACAAAAATTTGCTTCCGCAAATTTGCAGATATATATACATATATATATATATATATAAATATATATACAAGTCTAAATTGAAACAACGTTCAAACCTAGGATTGCGTTGGATAAAAACCGCATTTTTATACGTGTGCATGCAAAACAAATATCTTGGTAGAGGGGTCTAAATACAGCACAAAAAACATTTTCCAAAAGACCAAAAAAAGTGAAAAAGTATATTAAAACAAAACGCATTTGACTAGCAGGTCGAACAACGGATGTTCTTAAACCCTGCTGACTGCCATTGGCGATTGCCAAATAAACGGACAACCAGATATAACAAAATGAATCTTTACTATTAAATTAATACCAAACAGAAAACAGTAAACTTGCGGATAGGATGGTATACCGCAAACAAAAGGTGCAAAAATTAGTACACCATATCCGGATTTCGACAATTAGTCTCTCTTTAGTGATGTTAGGAATCGAAACGGCATTTGCATTAATGCAATATAATTTACCTCAATTTAGGATAGGCTCTTGAATTTTGAAGAGTCGAAATAGGATGAACGGGTCATATAAACCCGAAGGCAAATATAACACTATCCCAAACGATATAATATGAACAAGTCTAAATTGAAAACAACGTTCAAACCTATGATTGCGTTGGATAAAAACTGCAATTTTTATACGTGTGCATGCAAAACAATTTTCTTGGTAGAGGAGTCAAAATACAACACAAACAACATTTTCCAAAAGACCAAAAAAGTGAAAAAGGATATTTTAACAAAACGCATTTGATTAACAGGTCGAACAACGGATGTTCTTAAACCCTTCTGACTGCCATGGCGATTGCCAAATAAACGGATTACCAGATGTAACAAAATGGATCTTAATTATTAATTTAACACCAAACAGAAAACAATAAACTTGCGGAAAAGATGGTATACCGCAAACATGAGGTGCAAAAATTTGTACATCATATCCGGATTTCGACAATTAATGTCTCTTCAATGATGTTAGGAATCGAAACGGTATTTCAACGGGAAGGCAATATAATTTACCTCAATTTAGGATAGACTCTTGAATTTTGTAGAGTCGAAATAGGATGAACGGGTCATATAAACCCGAAGGCAAATATAACACAAGCCCAAACGAAATAATATGAACAATTCTAAATTGAAAGCAACGTTCAAACCTATGATTGCGTTGGATAAAAACCGCAATTTTTATACGTGTGCATGCAAAACAAATTTCTTGGTAGAGGAGTCAAAATACAACACAAACAACATTTTCCAAAAGACCAAAAAAGTGAAAAAGGATATTTTAACAAAACGCATTTGAATAACAGGTCGATGTTCTTATAAACCCTGCTGACTGCCATTGGCGATTGCCAAATAAACGGATTACCAGATGTAACAAAATGGATCTTAATTATTAATTTAACACCAAACAGAAAACAATAAACTTGCGGAAAAGATGGTATACCGCAAACATGAGGTGCAAAAATTTGTACACCATATCTGGATTTCGACAATTAATGTCTCTTCAGTGATGTTAGGAATCGAAACGGTATTTGGAAGGTCATATAATTTACCTCAATTTAGGATTGACTCTTGAATTTTGAAGAGTCGAAATAGGATAAGCGGATTATATAAACCCGAAGGCAAATATATTACAAGCCCAAACGAAAACGAAAAAATATAAACAAGTCTAAATTGAAAGCAACGCGGGGTCATCGGACACATTTTTTTTAAAACAAGATACCCAAATGATGATTTTTGCCAAGTTTGGTTAAATTTGCCCAAGTGGTTTCAGAGGAGAAGATTTTTGTAAAAGTTAACGAACAACGACGGCGGACGACGACGGTCGCTAAGTGATGAGAAAAGCTCACGTGGCCTTTCGGCCTGGTGAGCTGAAAATCAACCAACAAAACGACAAAAAGATGAAATTTCCTGTCAGACGTTACTGCAATATGGTCTAGTATGATTTAGTATTTTAAAAATGAGATGCGTTATGATTGTCAATAAGACAACTATCTATCAGAGTCCAAATGAACTGTAGGTCGCACACGCAAAGCATAGAGTACTCATCAATGTCATTATGAGTTTAACTACTATATCAAAGAAGAAGAATTAAAAAGGTCACTGTACGGCCTTTAACAATAAACAAGGCCCGTACCTTATCTTCAGCCGCTATAAAAGGCACCGACATGACAAAAATGTTTAACAATTCAAACATACAAACAAACAACGTCCTCATTTATAACAAAACATTGTTAAACGAAAAACAAATATAACTCATGCAGCAACCAACAAAATATCTAAATTAAATGCTCACGATCATGACTTTGGACAGGCCTATTTTGTTGTACAGAATATTCAATTTCATCCTGTCTTGGGATAAGTTATTTATATTCAGTTGTAGACAAAATATACATTTCCATAATCCTCCTCCGCCAAACTGAAAAAAATAAAGAGAAATTCCAATTATGCCCCCCCCCCTAGTAATAGTATTAGGGACTGGTCATTTGCTTCATTGGGGGTGCTGGGGGGGCATTGGAATTTCTCTTTATTTTTTTCAAGACCCGCCTCGAAGAAAAAAATAGATACAAGGCCCCCCACCCAAAGTCATAAAAATCTCCGCCTAAAAAAATAATTTCCCAATACTTTTGTTCGTAACTAATAGCAAACTGAAATATATGCATACAATCAAATTCTATTTATATTATTGTTATTATTCAATGAAATATTGCATCAGTAGTGGATCCAGAGCTTCAATTGGTTAGTGGTGTGTGACTCTTCAGGGAACCGTTTATTTGGTTTACTGATTTAGTGTATACAGCATCAAAGTAGAGCTTCTATAATTTTTCATGTTTGAAATACACAATTACTCAAATCTTGTTTAAAAAAAATCGATTACCCCCCCCCCCCCCCCCCCCATTTGATTTTATTAAAAAATTGCATACCCCCTTTCCACTCCCAAAATTTTCTTCAAGTCCCCTCTTTAATGCTACAAATGACAAGTCCCGAAGTACTTTCCCATATCAAATAGTCCTCCCCTGATAAAATCAAAATATGAAAACGTTTTGTTTATGTTCGATTGCAGAAACAAAACTTGACCTTAATATTAATTTGTGTAGTTGCCATATTTGGTAAATTATCTTTTTTTTTTTTTTGTTAAAATTATTTTTAGAAGGGGTTTCCCGAAATTAGTGATGCTACGTCATTTTCGTGATGAGGTCACCTCATTCGGAAAAATAGACTCGTTCTGGAATTAGACAATATGGCGGCCACCGAAAAGGGAAGGAAATGATATACAAATCTGATTAATTTGACTATTACATCCCTTATATAATTATCAATAATGTTTCCTGAGTATACAAAGGCATGACATAACAGCACAAATAATGTAGCTTAGCCTTTGTAGTGCCATGAGCGGTGTAGGGGGCTAATATACACCCTTTATTTTGTTCAAATGAAGAATGGGCGCTCAACAAGGAAAAGAAGGAAAAAGTAGTAGCTCAAGTAAACCTAAGAGTAAAACAAAAGATCAGTCTCGACCATCACCCGGAAATCCTTCTATATTTACAGATCCGACTGGTAAGTTTCTGAACCCTTTGTAGGACATGACTCATAATCTCTCCACTCGAGATTTACATGAAGATTTACTTTATCTCGTGAAATAATTTACAAAAAAACTTGAGACAGGCAATCGAACCTCATGTTCATTTTATTATAGAGATAGTGTTCTTAAAATGCTTGGCATTTGTTAAAATTTATGATTGAAAATAAAACCTTTTGAAGGCAGTAAAAATTTGTAACCTGGTCATGCATGAAGGAGTATTGTTATGTTAGGAAATTTGAGGGATTTAGTTGTCATAAATTGGTATAAAGATCAAAACCTAAACACTAACCCAGCTTTTTTTCATGATGCCATATACTTGTCACACCAGCTGAAGAAATATTAAAACAATTGAAAAACCCACCGAAAAACCCTTTAAAAGATGTTAATAGTGTATACATTGTAAATGTATATGGAATTATCGCTATACACCTTATTGCTGTTTGTCCACAATTACTGTTCATCACATACATTCCAATAAGATTTAAGGTTACAAAGAATATGGCTGATGCCACATTTCAAAAGTTGGTTTTTGTACATGTATGACATCAATATTATACACCAATCTCCAGTTGTTTATATATGAATGAGTTACATTGGTCAATCAGCATAAACCACATCATCCAACAATCTATTCTTACTGAGATGTATCATTAGCATTGTGACAAAGGAAATTTATGGGAAAGTGCAATTATTTGAAAGTAGTCTATAGACGGGTTTTGATTGTGAACCGATGCTAAGCAGCAATTAATTATGATTTTTTTAGGGTTAATACTCTGCCCTTGCACCCTCTTTATTTAATATACAGATGTGTTTTGATGTTTGACAGAATGTGATGTTGATTGAAGATTGGGTGGTTCTGACAATATTAAAATTCCAGGTTTAGAGAAGAGTGAGAATGTGAAATCTTTGTCTTATTAATGAGGGTAGTAATGCCCTTTACCGTCAGGTGTCAAACAGTCATTTTCGGCTACAGTTAGCATCAAATTGGTTAAAATTTTACCTTAATTCATCAAAATATCCTCATCGTGATTCGTCAGAGCAATGATTTGTATACTATACAAATCCTTGGTCAGAGGTCTCAAATAATTATCTTTACCGTTATTTTTGGAAAACATTTTATGTGATTCGTCAAAATCAGTCGATTTTTTTACCGTCTAAAAGAAAGTGTACATTTTATCGTCATGCACCAAAAATTACTGTTAGCGTCGTTTGGCAAGATTTTTTGTCATTGTTCTGTCTACGTATATATATTTGTTCTGCCTAACAGAAGTTCCACTGGAAACTTTGTTATAAACAATGTCATACATGTAATATCTGTTCCTGTTGGAACAAATATTCTATACCATTCATTCCGTTAGGATCATATACTGTAATATTTATTCCAGTGGAAATAATATTCCAGAACACTTTTTGCATTTGGAACTTCTATTCCGTGGCAATTCATCATGAAGGTACCCCAATTACGACCCTCATTAATCTACTGGTCAAATAAATTGCAGATGTAAATATGACATGATTTTTTTCTCTTTTCTTGTATAAATTGTTATGGGACCAGCTAGAGAAATAAAAAAGAATAAAAGTAGACATGGTGCTGGGGCAGATTCATTTATAAATGAATATGAATCATACACCATGTCTGCCTACTGGGGAAAGCTTCTCAAGTTTCATCTTTTTGTTCCACATTGTCTGTCCACTTGCCATCATAAACTTAAAAGTATTAACAGCCGTTTATGTTGCGTCCTGAGCACAATTCTGTACAACATTCGTAAGAGCATGTTTTACAACAAAAGCTGGATTGATTTTAGCAGTAAATTTTAACTTATTTTACTATAAAATTGTTAGTCAATTTACCGACAGATACAGTCTGTCCAACCTGAAATGACTCTGACTTTTGGTCCAAAGAGGCACAGGTACAAGACGAGATTTTGTTAATATATGTATATATACTGAATACACTATTCGTTATATATACAAATATTTAAAAAACCTCGCTTATACCTGTTCAAAGAAGTTGAGCAAAGTGCGTCAACTTCGTATTTTTTTCGTCTATAGGTCCATCATGATGTTCTTCAAAAAGATTCATCATATTGTTATTATCCGGAATCAATGTCATTATATTTTGCGTCCATGTGATCACATTTCGCATATTTGACAGTTAATACGCTACACGGTTTTCGAAAAGCCATGCTTGTTTATTTAAAATCTTGGTCCTTGAAACGCTTTACTTATCCAGTGTTCCAGCTTGAATCTCAGGGCAGAAGGGTGCTAGTTGTCTGAAAGGGCACTTTAGCGTTATAACCCAGATTTTAAGGGCACGTTGGACAGTGTATAAATTACCTTGAATATTGCTAGGCTCATGCAGCTGGAGAACATTAGTTGTATTTAAACCATATTCAGAAATTAATGTGTTCTTGATGTTGTTTCCAGTAAGATTTTTTTTTCTATCAAATTATCATACCATGAAGCAAAGCATATCATTTTGATGTTAATCTAAACAAACTTGTACATTTGGTAAGGAAAATAATCATCAGAAATTTCAATGTTTTATAACTTATACCAGTCTATAAAAATAAACAAGTAGTTTTGAAAGATGGAGTTATACATGCAAAATTGAATGTTTAATGTAATTAGATTATCTACATTTAAATAACTTGCTCAAACATATAGTATATATGTTATTGAGAGTTATTTATTATCATTTGAATTGTTACAAAAAAGTATTTTTAAGTGCACACCAAAGTGCTCCTCAGTAAGGAGTTTTATAAATATAACAGGTGAGAATGTAGATGATCATATTATATTAATGCAATAATATATTGCAGAAGGTATAAACAGAACTTTACTTTTTTCTCCATCTTTGTTAAAAATAAATTTGTTGAGTGCTCCTATGTCAGGAGGATTATAAAATACAAGAAGTAAAACAGGAAGTGAACCTTGTTATGTTCCAAAGTACAAATATCTTTTGATTCTTCTTTAAATTTCATACTCATGGTTATGAAACAAAACAATTTTTACCAATTAAGTCAAAACTATGCCTTTGAAATTGTTATGATTTTATTTTTTATGTTATGTTTACTGAAATAAATTTTTTCAGGTGTACATGCTGTACATAAACATTACAAATGGATAACATGTGGACATTTCATTCTGTATTAAATATCTAGTATTTGTTCAATTATCTTAAATCCACTAATTAGCAGGAAACAATCATTAACAAAGGTGATAAAACTGCCAAAGCATTAGGTATTTAACTTAATCCCATTGTCAGTAAATTATGTTACACAATCAGGTAACAATTTTACCACGCCGGTAGGCATGAAATTTGGAAATTTTATTTTTTTGAAAAGGCAGAGGGGTGCATTCCTTTACTTTGGAGGGCAGAAGGGCGGGCCGCCCCTCTATTTAGGGCAGGCGAGGACACTGTTATCCATATTGGTCGTTATTATCAAACGCTTTGAAGATCTATAGTATTCCAAATGTATAATCGGATCCGGATTTTGAATTTTTATTTTTATTTTTGTCAATAAAATGTTTAGGGTCGGCGTCGGAAACGGAGGTAGGGTCGGGAAACCGGAAACACACCATTTATTTATTTTGGCCTCATCCGATGTTCAGTACTTTTATTATTTCTTTTAGCCTTGCTTGATTCATCGTTATACAATCTAGTAAGGATCTCTTTATATCACACTTGTTTGTACTGCATTTTTCAATTTGGTTCGTCAAATAAGAAAATCAACTATTTATCCCTCTGAAATGGCAGCCAAGGGAATTAACTCAAACTCAAATAATGTCCTAACACCTATCTATAAAACAAGTGTTGCAAATTCCAAAATAACCATATTTATAAAAGTCTATTTGCATTGATATTAATTCTGCAAAACTTGACCTGAGAATATGCCACACTTTCACTATTGATGTCATACATTTTGTACAACAATCACTTTTGCTGTGTGGTGTCGGACATTTTCACTTGTGCATCATAGCATTTTTTTGGAATGTCTGTGAAATCCACGACCGCAGATAAATGATAAGGTCCATTTTTAACCAATTATATTTATCACAAACACATGAATTTTCATCATAAAACATTATCCATAAGCATTTGGGCCATTTTCCCCTTAAAGTTTTCTTTACCCTAGCTTATCAGTTTGACTTTTAGCATTATTATACCTTATATAAGAAAACCAGATTTTGATTGGTTGATAGCCAGTGTATTTTTCGCATATTCTAATATTTTTTCCTCATTTCAAACGATTTTGCCTCAAATACCATGGTATCTGCCATTTTGGATATTCCTTTTTTACCCTCTTGAGCATTTTCCCGCCAACATTTTTTGGATATGACGTTACATAAAAAAGCGAGCTAACACGTACTAGTACATGTATAATTCCTGCTGTTCTATGATAATATCCTCTTATTCTCAAAATAATGCATAAACATGTTAATGAATTAGTTTCAATCCAAATCTATTCGGTGTAATTAAACAGATATATCATGTTATGGATGGGTATTTGCGAAATATACCAGTCTTGGGACAGAATTTCCCTCGCCTAGCGGTTTGGGAAATTTTACAGTCCCTTGACAGGTATTTTTCACAAATACCCCTCCATAACATGATATATCTGTTCAAAACAGCATGTTATTTTGAATTTGAACTGACACCAAACCACTGAAACCAGGGATGGATATAACTACTAAAAGAATGAATAATATCCATATTAGACCTGAACATATAAAATCTAAAAGCAAAGAATTAGCTTTAATAGCAAGTTAAAAAATACAGATGTTTAAATCAGTAATACAAACAAGACAATTTGGTGTTAGTTGACAGCAAAGCTTTAGCAACACAAAGGGATCACTTCTATCATCATCCACATTACAAAAAAGTATGCAAATGTATTGGCATTTGCAAGTTTCATTTCCATGGAGATTATATAACCCCACCCCCTAATTATGGTTCATTGACTGAAACTTT